CCCCCTCCCTCTCTCTCTCTCTCCCCCTCTCTCTCCCCACCCCTCTCTCTCTCTCCTGGATCATTCCCATCAGCATACAAATATGCTCTCATATCTTCAGTCTCAAATTTTTAAAAAAGTTCCTTTGATGTTCCAACTGTCCCTTCTGACTATTACCCCATTTTTCTTCTTCTTTTTGAAGCAACAGTTCTCAAAAAAGTTTTCTACAGTCACTATTTCCATTTATTCACCTCCATTCTCCCCTGAGCCCACTCCAGTAGGGTTTCCATTGCTCATTGTTGCCACTCTACTGAAGTAGCTCTTGTGAAAATCTCCAGTGGCTTCCATATTGCTAGGTACAATGGTCACTTCTCAGTTTCCATCTTACTTGACCTCTTAGCAGTTTTCAATAAAGTTGACCATATTACTACTGTTCTTCTCTCCCTCCTCCTCCTCTTGACCATGGTGTTATCAGCACTGTGCTCTACCAAGTGAGCTAACTGGCCAGCCCATACTCTCCTTGAAACTTATTTTTCTCTTGGTTTTGATAACCACACACCCTCCTGGTTTCCCTCCTGTGTTCCTGGCTACTTTTTCTTAGTCTCCTTTGCAGGCTCCTCTCCCTTTCCTCAGCCCTTCGAAATATTGAGTACTTGGCAGCACCTACTTTCCCTGTCTTTATTCTCTACCTAAGTGATTATATTCAGTCCCATGGCTTTAAATACCATCCAGATGCAGGTAAGTCACAAATTCATGTCTCTAGCCTGACCACGAGCTTCAGCTTGTGTCCAGCCACCACTTCTAAGAAACATCTCAAATTTAATATGACCATCACAGAACTCTTACTTTTTCTGCCAGAATGATTTTTCCCTTTGTTGTCCCCATCTCAGTATATAGCATCAAAATGTATCTAGTTGCTCAAGAAGAAATTCAGCAATTAGATATAGAAGGAAAGTATCTCAACACAGTAAAATCCATCTGTGATAAGCCTACCACTAATATCCTGAATGGGGAAAAACTGAAAGCTTTTCCCTTAAGAACAGGAACAAGACAAGGATGCTCACTCTCACCACTCCTATTTAACATAGTACTGTAGGTACTAGCCAGAGCAATCAGGCAAGAGAAAGAAATAAAGGGCATCCAGATTGAAAAAGACGAAATCAAAGTGTCTCTATTTGCAGATGACATGATCCTATATATAGAAAAACCTAAAGACTCTATCAGAAAACTCTTAGAGCTAGTTAATAATTTTAGTAATGTTGCAGGATACAAAATCAATACCCCCAAATCAGTTCCTTTTATATTCTCCAATAATGAACTAACAGAAAGAGAAATCAAGAAAGTAAGCCCATTTACAGTAGTCACCAAGAAGAAATCTAAGTATCATCCTTTGTTCCGGTTTTCTACCTTCTACATCCAAACCAAGACCTATTGACCCAGAGTTGGAGGACTTAATGAGATAATGTATATAAAGTGCTTAATATAATGCCTAGCCAATAAAAAATAAATGATAGCTATTATTATTGTATTATTATATTTAACATATAATAATTATGTAACATTTTAACTACCATAGTAGCTACCTTTCTTTAGAGTTTTTGAAACATTTTTAAGTTGCAGGAAAATATGCTTTTGGATACTAGTAACACAGTCCCTTGAGTTCTGTTATATGCAGGCAATTACAGAACTTTTTGGTTTGTCTCTTTCTTAGAGATGTGACAGTCTCTTAAGTGCTGTTGAAACAAATTCATAAAGACCTTATTAATAAGACAAAAAACTCATTTTTTTAACTTACAGGTGAAAGTAATTGTACTCACTTTCTAGGGATCCCCTTCTTAATATCGAAATGCCTAGGAAATAGGAACTCCTACATTACTAGAGTTAGCACCTGTTTCTTTACCTCTTAAGTTTCTTTACACTCACTAAATCTGTTCTCCATTTCTATTATCCTATTGATTTTGTCATTCCTTTGGTTACCAGAGTCCTTCTAGTTGCCAAATTTAATGGCCTCTTTTTTGGTCCTCATTTTTACTTTAAAAATATGAAAATTCTTTCCCTCAGTATGGATGAAAAGCACTTCTTAAACTGTAAAATAAATATTACTAATACTATAATCCCCCTAAGAGCCATTATTGTAATTATTACATGGTATAGTTTTTTTCATGGTATATTTCTAAAATTGAATTAAACCAATAGAAATGAACTTTCATCTTCAGTTATTATCTGAAATTGAGGTTAAGATGGCCTTTTAAAACATTCCTATTTGACTTTAAGAGGCTTTGAAATAGTGTCTGAATATACCTTCATCCATGGATATAGCTCCATCCCAAAGGATATTTAAATGAAGAGGCACTGCAGCCAGGTTTATTGCTCACTTGAGATTGAGACATTTTCTGGCTCAGTCACATAGCCAGCCTTGAAAAGAAGAAACGAGTTTGCTTGAAAAGGAGGGTGATGTGGTCAAAGAGACAGTACTTATTGATTATGTGGAATATGTGATGCTCTACTACAGGAACAGAGAAAATCCAATAGAGTATAGTTGGCCCTTAGTATCCACAAGTTCTGCATCCACAGATTCAATGAACTGCAAATTGAAAGTATTCAAAAAATAACAGTATAATAATAAAAAAATACAAAATTTAAAAAATATAGTATAACAACTATTTACATAGCATTTACATTGTATTAACTATTACAAGTAATCAGCAGATGATTTAAAATATATGGGAGAATGTGCATAGGTTATATGCAAATACTACACCATTTTATATAAGGGACTTGAGCATCCACAGATTCTGGTATCCACAGGGGGTCCTGGAACCAATCCCCTAGACACTGAGGGACAACTGTAATGGTTTTAAGGCCTTATAAGTTGATGAGCAGTTTCAAAATTCAAAACCAAATAAATCATTTTCCTTGGAAAAAGTAAATACTGAGATTTACTATGTGCCAGGTAATATGGTAGACCTACAAATGTTATCTCATTTAATTCTCACAATATCCCTAGAAGGTAGATACATTTTTCTCATGATCTAGGTTTTACAGTTAAGCAATTTGAAGCTTAGGAAGCCCAACTAGCCAAAAAATAAAACCTTTTCTGAGCACCTTCCTTCCAACCCTGTCTCTGTAGTAAATGCCCTTCCTCTATGCTGCTATTATACCCTGAACATATCTTTTTATCTTAACATGTATCATTTCCAAATGGCAATATGTTTATTTATCTGTCTCACCCACTAGGCAGCTCCTCAAATGTAGGAATAGAGTCTTAGTCACCAGTACAGGGCCTTGAACATAGAAGGCTTTCAATAAATATTTGTTATAGTATAAATTTGAGCTCAGAATTCAAGCCTAAATCTGTCTTGTTCATCATCATAGGCACATAGATCCAGTTATCAAGATAGTCACCTTACTTTGAAGAAGCTTTGAGAAGGAAAAATAAGTTCTGAAAAATCTTACCAAAATATTTTTTATATTGAGAAAAGCTAATGCTTTGGAAAATTTCTCTACCAACCAAAAATGAAACTGAAACGTTAAAGCTTACACATACATCAAAGGAAAGATATCAAGAATGTGGGTTGCTTTATTTTCCAGGGGCTTTATGGGTGTGCATAATTTTAAATCCACACTGCAAACTGGAGGAAAAATCCTGTTGGCTGCAGCAACTGCAAAAATGGAGTGACCTGGATATCTGTCCCCTAGAGGATGGGAACTATGGGCATGAGCTGCCCAACATCACCAATGCACTTCCCCAGAATGCCAATCAGAGCCCAGGTGAGTCGAGTATCTTTTTAGGCTTTTAGTGCCTGGAGCTTCAAAAGGTGGAAGGGTAAAGCTCTAGAATAATGGTGGCTGGACAGTCTTTTGGCTGTCAGAATTGCCATCCTAAATAAGAAAAGCCTGTCTTTTTGTTCACCTTGAAATGTCAAACCTTAAATAAGGGCAAGATTTTATCTTTGACATTGGAGATGCTGTCCTTTTCCACATCTAGAGTGTCCTTACAGCGCCCAGCATAAAGTCCTAGAGCCCTCTGCATGACTCCTCTGTACCCATCAGCTTCTTATGTCTAATGGATCTTGACCTCAGTTGGGGCTGGTTTTACCTGAGAAAACCTACCTTAACGGAGGAACACAAGGCCTACAAAAAGCAGTTTTAAAAAGTGTCCTGACTATGGCCTTTCTTACTGTTCTCTGTTTTGCTCAAATTTTTGTATAGCAGATAGCCAGGTGGGGTGATCCTCCTAAGTTACTGCTAGGATTCCTGCCCCATTTTAAGACAAATCCAGTACAGTGATACTGTACCCTCCACCTTTTGAGCCCAATGGCCTACAGACATTACTTGGCATCAGCATTCACATCAGTTTTAGTCTGTCTAACCCAGGCTATTTAATATTGGCAACTGTTTTATTTATTTATTTATTTTGGGGTTTTTTTTAATGAGTGGCCATAGGCCCGGCCCAACATAGAGCCAGGCCCAAGCCACCTGGCAACTGATTGTTTTCTAGTCTATTGAGAGCCTTTATTGGTACGAGATTTTTATCAGACACTGATTTTATAGTTGGTCCCTTTTATATTAAGTGGTAACTCTATTGAAATTTTAATCTCAAAGAGGAAATCACTTAAACTATGTTTTTGCTTGGTCTTCTTCTATCATACCATAATTAATTGTCAGTGCATTTAAGACAACTAAGGTAATGAGAGGTGAAAAGGCTACAATTTTGCTACTTCTTTAAGCTACCCTTTCCTGGCACTTACCTAGCCTCCACAACATAGGAAGCCATCCTTTTTGGATTGGCTTTGGACATACTGGAGAGGGTCAAATTCATACAAACACATATGTCCAGTCTGACAGTTTTTTCCTTGTGGTAAAGTAGTGGTTCTTCATTGTTACTGGTTGTTCTTTGAAGATGTTGTTTCTCCTCCAGTATTCTCAACTTGTGATTATCTCTCTCTCATATCCGTTTACCATTGGGGCTGGAGGAGCAATAGGCATCCTGCTTATTCTTCATTGTCATTTCTACATCATTGTCCTTCCCACCTTCATAAAATACCGCCAGCTTTAAAGTTTATGCCATCAAACTATACTGTCTCCCACCCTCCTGGTTTTGGTCATCTGTAGACCTTGGGGTCAGTCCTCCTCATTCTTGGAAGATTTTTAGCTACTGGCTTATTAACACTGCTCTCTATCATTACTCCTGTCATAATTCTCAGTGATTCAGTAGCCACATAGGGACCCTACCAGTACCCTGGCATCTCAATTCTTGGACCTCCTCTTTTCCAACAGTCTCATCTTCTACCATAATTTACCCAATTCCAAAGTCATATCATAAACCTTGTCTTACCAATAACTACATCCTCTTCATAATCTCAATTTCAGGCATCTCCAGTGACCACCACTAATTTTTCTAGCTTATTTTCTTTAGTACCCCAATTCCAGTAATTCTTTGATGCACTAGAAATTTTCATCTTACCACTTTTTTGGTCTCTTGATAGCCTCATTTTCCCTGGACCTCATTTTTACTTGACCTGTTGGCAATATTTGACACATTGATGATTCTCTCCTTTAAACATCTCTGTCATTTTTGATTTCCAAGACACCACTTTCTCTTGGTTTTCCATACTTCATTGGCCTTTCCTTCTAAGTCTCCTTTACTGTCTTCCCCAATTCCCAACCTAAGTACTGTAGTACACAGGGCTCAGTCATCAGACCTCTCAGACTTCTCTTTTTATATTTTGTGATTGCATTGTTTTAATAATCATCTATATACTAACAACTCCTAAATGTATATATCTTGCCCAGACCTTTCCTCTCAACTCCAGACTTGTATATTCAACTACCATTTTGATATCTCTACTTATAAATTGAAAGGCATCTCAGTAGGATTTCTTATCTCTCAAGCCCCACCCAAACCTGCCCCTCCTTGCAATCTTCCCTATATCCATATATGGCAACTCTGTCTTAAAAACCTTGGAATCATTCTTGATTCTTCTCTTTCTCTCTCACCCCGGCTCTAATCCATAAGCAAATCCTGTTGCCTTTACCTTCAGAATATATTCAGAATCCAACTACATCTCATCATCTCCACTGCTTATTACTCTGGCCTGCTACCATCATCTCTCACAAATTATTCTAATGGACACCTAAGTGCTCCTCCTGCTTCCGCCCTTCTACCTTATAATCTGTCATCAGTAGTGCTGCCAGAGTTATCCTTTTAAAATGCAAGATCTATGATATCCCTTCACAGCTCAAAGCCCTCCAGTGGCTTCTCATCTTACTCAAAAAGCAAAAATCATCTTTCACTCATGGCCTACAAGGCCCTCCATGATCTGGTTCCCCAGTATGTCTCCTACCTCATCTCCTATGATTCTCCTGCTTGCTTGTTCCATTCTAACTACACTGGTGTCCTTGCTGTCCTCAAACACTCCAAATATATTCCTACCTCAGGACTTAGTACTTGCTATTTCTTCTGCCTGGAATGCTTTTCTCTTTATTATCTCTAAGACTTGCCTCTCAGTTCCTGCAGGTCCCCCTAAGTCCACAGTCTATGATAGTATAACTTCCATTTGGTCCTCCTACATAAGGAGGACCTTAAGAATTGAGCCTACTTTTTCTGCAGTTTGGTTTCCCTGCAGCCCTTCTCCTGAAGAGAGATAGCATGGTAAGTCTCCAGTGAGACAAGTCAGTCAGTCTTTTGTCAGCATCGATTTTTTCTTATTGGGGAACCAGACTGTAAGCCTGCCAATATCTATGTAATAAAAGCACCAGAACATACAGGGCTTCAGCTCTTTTTCAGCTTTTAATATGAATTTCATGGAAGTCCTCAGTCTGATAAGGGCCATGCTGTAAATGAAACAAGTTACAGATTGGCCAGGAAAATTACCTAGCTGTTTCTCTCTACCTTTGACTTCTACAGAAGCAGTTTGTATCCCCATGATTGAACAGCTGAACATCACTGTCCCACCTCTCTTTCATGTGGCTCTCGGTCCCAGGAGAAACTGGCCTTCTGTAGAAGGAAGAAAGCAGCTATAGATCTCTGTAGGAAAGGTTCTTCCCATAGAGGGCACAGACACACTAAAGGCTTATCCAAAAAGGAGGCAATACAACAAACACCCAGACAGAGAGCAGAGTGGCTGCTCTCACTGCCCACATACTATTCATTGGGCCAAGCTTCCACCCTGAAGAAGACCCAGGGGTGGTTAGAACTTCAGATTACCCATCATTGTACTGTTGCATGTTTTTCTTTCCCCAGATTCCTTATCCAGACCAAGACGAACAGTGTTCACCAGAGCCGTTGAGGGCCGTGAATTACATTGGCAGGACAGCCACCTACAGCGAATAATCAGAAGTGATTTATATATAGCTCCTGCCTGCCAGCGAGAAAGCGAGAGACTGCTCTTTAATTCCCAAGGCCAGCCACTGTGGCTTGGTAAGTCTAGCTCTCCTCTACTCTAAGAACTTCAGAGCCCAATCTCTTCTCATACCAGGCCCACATGAGCCATGTGCATAGGTACCAGCAAATCCAACCACAATTTGATGGTCTTCATACAGATGTTTTGGGGCCTTTACTAGGGACTCAGGATATTTATGTGAAGCCTAAGCCATCTGCATATGTACTCAACTGAGATACAGTAACCTCAAATAGGAATTTGTATCCTGTCCCCTAAGCTTTGGGAAGGGGAAGTAGTTAATGCATCACACAGAGTACTTACAAAGCAATTAGACATCACTTCACAGTCTCTCTTAGTCAAGGGTTCCTGAGCAACATTATATTCTACTCTGGAATTATATGTTTTGCTAAAAAAGCACTAAGTTTGAAATTTAAATTACCCTGTGCTAGTAACTAGGACACAATCTGCATTTGTCACCAAACTGGCTTCTTTTCCTCCTTCCCACTTTCTACCTTCCTTCATCATAACAGGATAGAGCTATTCCATTGTGAGTTTAAACTCTCTAAAATAGGTTCCTGGCTTTCCCTCAATTGGTCTGTTCTTGATTTTATCACAGGATACTCATAAAAAATAGACATTCTTTTTTTTGTGTGTGGGTGGGTGTGTGTTTAAGTCAACTTAAAAATTTTATTGGCTTGTAGAGAACTGCCATACTTTCCTCCCACCATCCTGCTATTCTTCAGTGTAATTTGCAAAAGGCAGCAGAGACCAAAAAGGGTTCCTTAGGTACTCAACAGAATTTAAAGAAGTGGGAAAAATTTTCATACAGTTAGAAAATAAAACTTGTCTCAGTTTAGAGAAAATGTTTCTTTGTACATATTTTAAAATACAGTTTTGTTTTCCATTTGGGAACTGTGGAAAATACCTACTTATGTCTTTGGAAGGACATCCTATTTTGCAATGTGTGGTCTTCCAGATTCTTTTGGGCTGTAGATGTTGGGACGTATTCCATGGTGTTAGCATTTCCTATAAATTGATGTTGTTTGGCAGAGCCTTCCATTCAGCTCTCTGACATCTTATCAAGAATTAGTAGAGGGGCAAGAATTCTTGCCTGGTTAGTTTCCACAATGCAGCCGTTTAAGACCATCTCATCCAAAAATGATGTGTACTTTATCCAAATTAAACATTATATCTAATTCAGTCACTCAGCTGAAGTACTCATCTAAAACTTTCACAAAGTTATGGATGAATTCATAAATAGCCATCTCATTCTCGGTGTCATTAACTCCACCACAATGAAGAGAGGTACATACTGTCGATATATCAGCTTAAAATCTTTATATTCAATGAAAGAGCATTGTTCATTGGATCGAGAGAAACAGCTCTTTATGACTTCTGTTTCCAGAAGTGCATGCCTATTAATCTCCACATGTTCATAGTACTTAGAAAGTCAGGTCTGCCCTTGTTTATTCACCATGAGCAAAAATTTTATCATGTTTTTTCTCCTGGCCAGTATTTTTCCAAATATAGTTCAAAAGTTACGGCAATGGATGGCTGTAACTGGAACCTGTGCGGCTCGTGGGGGTGTCGGTCCTGGCAATGGATCTTCCTAGAATCTGCCTCCCCATTAACTGCAGAAGCTTGTTCCCCAACCCTTGCTAGCTACGCAGTGCAGGCTTCCTCGGGGCAGCCATTTTGATTTTAGTCTAGACATTCTTTTTTAAAATATTTATTTTCTGAGTCTTTCAACAGTGACATACATTTTCATTGTTTTCTTCCAATTCCCTACATCCATCCCTCATCCCATTTTTTTGTCTTTCTCAAGATCTTGCTGAATCTGGATATGTGCCTGTCTCTCTCTTGAAAGCCCTGGCTTAACTCACTGTAGATCACCACCTGAAGTTCTCTCTGATCATCTTTCCTCTTCTCTGATCTGACACTTCTAAAACATAAATCTAACAAGCATATGAAAAAATGTTCACTTCATTAATAAACAGAGATGCAAATTAAAACAATCCTGAGTTTCCATTTTTTGATAATCAAATGGTCAACGATTTTTAAAATAAAGATTATTAGTTTCTGGTGTGGGAGAGGTTGTGTGGAGATGATACTCTCATATAGTACAGGTAGGAGTGTAAATGCTTACAGTCTTTGTGAAGGGTATTTCTGCAACACTTATTAAAAGCCTTTAAAATACATTCATACCATTTGATCCAGGAGTTCTACATCTAGGAATTTATCTTGAGCCATGATTAATTAAGGATATGCATAAAGCTAGGAGGTTCATTACAGCATGGATATAAATAATGTACAGATAGGAAAAATTGGAAACATTCTAAATGTCCAACAATAGGAGATTGATTAACTCACTGGACATACACATATTTAGTAGAATGATATGTACTCATTTTTAATGTTATAGAAGTATATTTAGTGACATGGAGAATATAATGTGGTATTAGGTTGAAAAACCAGTTATAAAACAATAATTATAATATAATCCCATTTTAAGTAAAAATTTAATTTAAAAGCCTGGATAAGGGCCAGCCCGTGACTCACCTGGGAGAGTGCGGTGCTGACAACACCAAGTCAAGGGTTAAGATCCCTTTACTGGTCATCTTTTAAAAAAGAAAAAAAAAAAGTTCATGGAAAGATTTGTATTTTCTTTTAAATCCTATTTTTCCATGAACTCTTTGAAGTACCCTCATATTTTGTTTATCTGTATTTTAAAATTTTTGCAATTATTTCTATAATTTTTAATGTTATCTTTAAAAGAAATCACAAAATAAATCATAAAGCTTGTTGTAATTCCTTGCCTGTTTATAAGCCTTTGGTAGTCTTCCATTATTCCTAAGGTAAATCCAAACTCCTTAGAATGGCATTCAGAGGTCTTTATAGTCTACTAGACTCTACTTTTCCAGGCTATCTCCAGCCATGTAACCTAACTCTGGCACATGGAGCTATTTGCCATACTCCGAAGATTCTATATCAAATACTTTTAATGCTTTTACTTATATTTATATCCCCCCTTTGCCAGGAATGCATTTCTCTGTTTATCTGCCTATTTAAAATAGTGCTTGTCCGTCAAAGCACAACTCAAATATTTTGTCTCTGTATATATTTCCATTATGTCACTTTTTAACTGTTTTATAATTATCTATTTATGTATCATTGTGAGCTCTTGAGGGCATTGACCATTTCTTATTCATCATTGTACTTCCTTTCCCCAGCATAATTTCTAGCATATAATAGGTTTTCAGGAAATGTAGAATTAATAAGTGAATGAGGCTTTTCCCTTTAGACAGCTAGTTGGTAACTCCACTGAGTTCCCATAGTACATGTTCAAAGAGAGGTACTACATTTTATTATCCTTATTCCTTTGTACACCATACCACCATGCTAAAGCTACAAGGTAGCTCTTTCAAGGTAGCATCTGTGACTTACTCAACTTTTTATATCCTTAAAAATAAAAACACAATTTCTGGTAGATGTCAGGTTGAATTTGAAGAACTGGATTGAAGACAGACTCTCTTTGTCAAACATGAATTTTCCTGATTTGAAATTTTCACTCAACCAAAACATTTTCTTCTTATCTGGTAGAGCACGTACCCACAGCCTGTGCTCGGGTTGATGCCCTGCGTTCCCACGGCTATCCAAAAGAGGCCCTCAGGCTCACGGTGGCCGTTATTAATACTCTGAGGTTGCAGCAGCAGCGGCAGCTGGAAATCTACAAGCATCAGAAGAAAGGTATAGTGATTAGGAGACATCTAATCCCCTTAGGTGTAAAGCTGATGAGGATACTCAGGGGATATAAGTCGCAACTTAATTTTCATTATGTATCAGTGTGTGTCAGAGACCAGGGAATTCTATCATTCCACCTGCTGTATGGAAATGCCTCACTTTCTCTCAATCTCAGTTTTCTCATCTATAAAATGGGAATAATAGTGCCTATGAGCCTCCCTTGCAGGGCTGTTGGAAGGCCCACTAAGATCTGGTATGAGAAGACCCTTTTTAAACTGAAACTATATCCATGTATGCACTACCAGCAGGCAACCTAAATGCAGACCAAATGACCTTACAGCTTGGCTGTTGAGCTTGTAGCCTATCTTGTAAACCCAAGGCAAGACAATAAAGGAAGTTTTTCTTAGAATCTCAGGGTTAAGGTCTGAAAGAGACTGCTAAAGAGACCCAGACAGGGACAGAGAGCAATGTCTCTCTATCACTCTTTCAAACTTTGACCTGCTTGTTTCCAGAACTGTTGCAGAGAGGAACCACAACCATCACAAACCTGGAGGGCTGGGTAGGCCACCCCCTGGATCCCATTGGCTGCCTATTTCTCACTTTGACTGAGGCCTGCCGCCTGAACAATGATGGCTATCTGGAAGTGTCAGGTAGGGGTCAGCCTGAGGCAAGCCAGGACTGCCTTTGGCAGCTCTCTCCTCCCTGCCAGACTCTGTTCTGCCCCTCTTGCAGCCTTTTTTTCTGTCTTTTTCAAACCAGGCCACCCTTGAGGTTTCCTCGGGCTTCATCTCTTTCCCTATGTGAATGCCTAAAGAGTGTGATCCAAAAGGAATAAGAAGGGCTGGAGGAATTTCAGAAGTCAGAGGCCAGAACTTCAGAGCAGTCTGAAAGTGGGAGGGAATTACCATCAAGAGTGTGTATATCTCTTGCAATTACATACTACTCTCTGGTTTCCTTCAGACTTTCTTCCTCATGATGGTTTTGTACCAATTTTAAAAATTAAAAGTAGAGGGGAATAATTTAATAGAATTTCAAAATCGCCGGACTAAATAGAGACTGAATTGATTCTTCTTTCCTTTATGCCATCACTATATTGTGTACATACATATACTTTAGTATTTAGCACACTGCATTACAGTTTGTCGTAATGTACCTTTTACTAGACTGTCAGCTACTTAAAATAAGAAACTATGACTTACTTATCTTTGTGATCCTTGCATTTAGTGCATTACCTATCATTTAATAGTCTTCCATAAATACTGATCAGATGGATGAAGGAGAAAAGAAACCAAGACTCTGACTTTTAAACCTGTGCTGTCTTTCTGAAATAGTGAACCTAGTGGTGGAGCACATAAAATAATAATAACATAGAAGTTGCAAGTGTTATAAAAGTAAGAGTTTAACTGGATGAATGCAGATTTCTCTGGGTAGAGATACAAAGGGTGGCCCCAAGCCAAGGGAGGGCTGCCCTTATCTTCCCTCTGATTCCCTGCAAAGGGAATCATCATCTTTGGTTTGTTTCAGCTGCACAGAGACATGTACATCCTGAAAACCTGAGGTGCAGGTTACTATGCCAGGCCCTGGAGATACCTAGAGCAACAAGATAGTCTCATCACTTTAAGGGGCTCACACTCTAGTGAAAGAGACAGACACAAAAACAGACAATTATGGCATTACATAATGTGCTAGCAAAAAATAAGTATAAGATTTTATACTTCCCCAACTGGCCTACACAATTCATATTTTAGGAGGGAGGAAGGAACCTTTGTAGTTCTGTGTAACCTTTTTTTACTATATTTTCCTTACTGCTCATGGGTTCTGACTTGGCTTCCCTGTAGTAGTTAACTAAGCTGTATCCCAAAGTGGGAGAAAAAGAGGAACAGAGGAATCCTCCAGGCTTGACCTAAAGAATCTGGTGCCCTCTTGCCTTCAGATATGAATGAAAGCAGACCCCCCATGTACCAGCATGTACCTGTGGCTGCAGGCTTCCCAAACAGCAGTGAGTCCTACCTGTCTTTGGCCCTAGAAGTTGCTCTGATGGGCATGGGTCAACAGAGGGTGATGCCCGAAGGCCTCTATGCACAGGACAAGGTGTGCCGTAATGAGGAGCAGCTCCTGAACCAACTCCAGGAGCTTCAGCTGGATGATGAGCTAGTACAAACACTGAAGAAACAATGCATCTTACTGCTGGAAGGTAAGTAGGAAAAGGGCTGTTATCACAGTGACTTTGGCCTGTGACCCTTGGTTCCCCTTCTCCAACAAAGCACAGGTACAGGAAGATGTATGATATTATAGTGAAGGTTCCCATGGCTAGCAAACAAGCATGGGATCAAGTCCAGGTTGGCAAATGGAAGCATACAGATAAGTAACTGGCTCACTTTTCTTCTTCCTGCAGGAGGCCCCTTCAGTGGTCTGGGAGAAGTCATTCACCGAGAAAGTGTTCCCATGCATACATTTGCCAAGTATTTGTTTTCAGCTCTGCTACCTCATGATCCAGACCTGTCCTATAAATTAGCCTTACGTGCCATGAGGTGGGTAGCCCTTTCCCAGCCCAGTCTCAGCAGAAGTCTCCAATGCTCTTTTTCTTTGCTTATCCCACTTTCCTCTTTTTCCCTCTTTGTCTATTCTATTGGACCTGCCACCAAGCCTGCCTTAAAATTACTCAGATATTATATGATCTAGGATTGCTATCTGAGATTCGTTATTGGTGACTCACTTGGCTCCCTGGCTACACTTGTAGCAGATTGTCTGAAGAAGCCCCTGAGATACAAATAGACATGGAGCACCCAAGATCTGAGTCTCCCTGTTCTGTGGCCAATTAGGGTAGCCTGAGGAGCCCTTCCAAAGATTAACTGAGTCATGGTCTCCAAATATAGGTCCCCAGAGGTATCTGGGAGAAGTAAAGGTAAGTAAACCCTAAGATGGAAAACAATGAGCTATAAGTAAAGGTAAGTAAACCCTAAGATGGAAAACAATGAGCTATAGACATGTTGTTTCCAAACTATAATAGGAGTACTGGCTAGTTAGCTCAGTGGTTAGAGCACAGCCTTGTAATACCAAGGTAAGAGGTTCGGTTCCCTGTACTGGTCAGCACCCCCCCCCAAAAAAAAAAAAAAAAAAAAAATAGATTAGGATCCTTGGTTTAGGCAGGTGGACCTCTGGGATGTGGTGGATCTCTGGGATGCAGCAGACTGGAGAAAAGAAGAATTTTAATTTTTAGAATTTTAGACCATAAGGCTAAGAGAACTCCTCAGCTAAAACAGGAAATTCCTTGGCATGTATTTTGTATACTTTTTAAAATAACCCCATGGCTCTTGCACTGCCTTTCAAATTAATATGCAGTGAGGTCTATTCATTTTGAGGTCTGCAAGTGCCCAGGCCCTCACCTTACATAGAATATGGTACCATAGGTTTTAAAACCTTGAAAGCTCTTAAGTTAATCCTTTCCTCCCCAGCAAAGAGCAAGTTTCTCTAAGGTGGCTCAAAATGGTCAGGGTCTGGATGGTGGCTGATATCTTCCTGGGTCTTCTAGGTTACCTGTTCTAGAAAACTCAGCTACTGCAGGCGACACCTCCCACCCTCACCATATGGTGTCTGTGGTGCCCAGCCGTTATCCTCGCTGGTTTACGCTTGGACACTTGGAATCACAGCAGTGTGAACTGGCCTCCACCATGCTGACTGCTGCCAAAGGTGAGCATAGATAGACCTTAGGCTCCAGCATCCGCACTGTGCCTGCCCAGACATGGCCTGTTAAAGGCTTGGCCTGTAGTCTCTGAAGAAGAGAAGAAGTTTGTTCTTCCTTGACCATTTAAAGTGATAAGGATTCTCACTCAGATTGCTGCCACTAGAAAAACTACCTGGGTCCAAGCCAAAACCTTTGCCTTAGTTACTAATTGTAGGACCCTGAGTATGTAGAATTAAATGATCTTTAAGCTAACTTGTAAATCTGACCTTCCATATGATAAAGTCACTTCACTTTTCTAAGCCTCATTTTCAGAATCTATCAGTCTCCCAGGGCCAGTGGAAGATCTAATGAAGTGATGGCTAAGATAGAGCTGTAAAACTCCTTACAGATATGACAGTGTGTGATTTTTCCAGTGCCCTGGTCAAAATATAGGCAGTCCAGAGTAACTGTCAGGCCTTTAAGCTCACATACTATCTTAGCTCTGTAGATTTCACCACAAAAAGAAGTAAAAACAAACCCCTATAAGAGGAGCTATCATAAAATACTAGCTATCACGGACTCTGAGTATTTTGTACCAGGAAATTCTACATGGGTCTTTGAAGCACCTTTTTATTAACAATAATTTTATGTTATATCTTCTTATTGCCAAAAAAATGCATGCTCTTTGCAGAAAAGGTATAAGATACAGACAAGTCAATATAAAAATGATGAACAAATCAATACAAAAATTGAACAAAGGATATGATCAGACAGTTCACAGAAAAGGAGATACAAGTGACTTTTAAACAATTAGAATGCCTGGTCTCACTTGAGAAATACAAATTAAAATTACCCTGAGATAACACTTTTCACCAGCCTTATTGGCAGAAATCAATACTTTTGATAATAAACATCCATTTGGAGAGTGGAGAGTACTGGTAGCCTGGAATGGTGTATCAGATTCCAAGCAGGATAAGGAGGATGACTGCAGATCCAAGGAACTCAAGGAACCTCAAGTGGAAAAAACATGAAGAAGGGGCCGGCCCGGTGGCGCACTGCTACAGTGCGCCGCTTGGGAGTGCGGCGGCGCTCCCACCGAGGGTTCGGATCCCACATACAGACCGGCCGCTCACTGGCTGAGCGAGGAGCGGGGGCAACACCAAGGGTTGTGATCCCGTTGCCGGTCCCGGTCCGGTACGGGCGCAACACTGAGGGTTGCGATCCGTTGCCGGTCACGAAGAAAGACAAAAAGACAAAAAAAAAAAAAAACATGAAGAAGGGGCCGGCCCGGTGGCGCACTGCTACAGTGCGCCGCTTGGGAGTGCGGCGGCGCTCCCACCGAGGGTTCGGATCCCACATACAGACCGGCCGCTCACTGGCTGAGCGAGGAGCGGGGGCAACACCAAGGGTTGTGATCCCGTTGCCGGTCCCGGTCCGGTACGGGCGCAACACTGAGGGTTGCGATCCGTTGCCGGTCACGAAGAAAGACAAAAAGACAAAAAAAAAAAAAAAAACATGAAGAAAACTATACCAAAGCACGTTGTAATCAAATTGCTTGAAACCAATAATGTAAGTGAAAATCTTACTTAAAAGCAACAAGAGTAAAAAAGATACATTACAGACAAAAGAGGAAAGTCAAGTTTGAGAGTAGAGTTCTCATTAGAAACAACGTAAGCCAGAAGAGAGTGGAGAAGAATCTTTAAAATACTTGAAAAAAAGAAAACTGTCAACCTAGAAATCTATGCCAGTGAAAATGTCTTTCAAAAACAAAGATGAAATAAAAACTTTTTCAGACAACCACAATATTATTAAAAATCAGTAATAAAAACATACCAGGGAAATCCCCCAAATTTTTGGAAATTAAACACCACACTTCTATGTGACTCACAGGCCAATGGAAAAAAATCATAAGAAAGTTAGAAAATGTTTCAAAATGAATGAAAATGAAAGCACCACATATCAAAATTTGTGGAGTAAAGCTAAAACTTTACTTAGAAGAAAACGTTTAGCACTACATTCCTGTTTTGAAAAGAAGAAAGATTTCAAATTAGTGATCTCAGATTCCACCTTAAGTAATCAGAAAAAGAAAAACAGATGAAATTCAGGGCCGGCCCAGTAGCGCACTGCTACAGTGCGCCGCTTGGGAGCGCGGTGGCGCTCCCGCTGAGGGTTCAGATCCCACATACAGACCGGTTCCCGCTCACTGGCTGAGCGAGGTGCGGGTGCGACACTGAGGGTTGCGATCCGTTGCCAGACACGAAAAAAGACCAAAAAAAAAAGAAAGAAAAATAGATGAAATTCAAAGTAAGCAGAAGAGGGCTGGCCCAGTGGCGCACTGGAGAGTGCGCCGCTTGGGAGCATGGCGGCGCTCCCGCCGAGGGTTTGGATCCCATGTGGAGACCAGTTCCCGCTTACTGGCTGAGCGTGGTGTGGGTGCAACACCGAGGGTTGTGATCCCGTTGCTGGTCCCCAGTACGGGCGCAACACTGAGGGTTGCGATCCCGTTACCGGCCAGTTAAAAAAAAAAAAAAAAAAAAAAAAACAAAGTAAGCAGAAGATAAATAATAAAGATCAGAGCAGATATCAATGAAATAGAAAAACAGTAGAGAAAAATCAGTGAACCCAAAAGCTAGTTCCTTGAGATCGATAAAATTGAAATCTCTGCCTAGACTGATCAAGAAAAAGATGAAAGATAAAAATTACCAAAATTAGGGGCCGGCCCGGTGGCGCACTGCTACAGTGCGCCGCTTGGGAAGTGCGGCGGCGCGCCCGCCGCGGGGGCGGGTCCCCCCTACCGCCCC